AAATATTGACTGATGTGAAACAACAACACAATATCACATGATTTTGTGTATGTGTGTATGTGTTTGTTTGTTTTTCTTTGTTACGAAAAGCACGCTTGGATTTTTCAAAATAGGTCATACCTCTTTGAATTACAAATCATAGATCCCCTGATAGAATGCTATCAAAGATGTGTTTGAATCATGTGTGTACAATAAAAGAGATACATACATACAAATGTGAAGCAACATTTGAGCAAGGTACAGTATTTGAACTGAAGATTTAGCAAGAGACAGAAATACAAAATATGGCACATATGAATGATAATGTGAATGTTACCATTTCCAAAGATGAAGCTAATGTTAAATCATGTTTTGAAAAGAAGGCAGTCATTTTAAAAGAGTGGTTTTGTCCTACATTTATGTACTACTGTAAAAAAGATGATTAATTATGAATTGGAACTATATTGTAGTCTTTATGAGAAGAGGCTTGAAGTACAAAGACTTAAAAAATGGGTTTGTGTGCAGTTCATGTGAAATAATTTAAGTATTATTTTTAAGAACAGATCCAAATACCTCATAACAATTTTTAAATTGAATTTGAAGGCATTGTTCATTTAAAAATAAAAAAAGAAAAATATGTTAAAGAGAACACATTGTGTTGGCACTGACATTTCCCAATCCTATGCCATCCAATTCATGGATTAAAATCACCACTCACAAAGAAAGCAATGCAAATCTTAACATAAAATTGAATTTGCCATGTTTTGTTTCTAATTTACTCAAGAATTTTCTTTCCTGATAGAACTAATTCATTCCACAACCACAGTACCAAAAATACAGTAGACAATAACAATCACATTGTTCAAAGAAAGGGAAAAAACACATTCTTACCCTAGTAGCATGCCTTAGACATTACATATACACACATACATACTAAATAGATGGGTTGGGGATGGTCATGGTCATGCCATAGGGGTGATGAAATAAAAGATAAGACTTTCTGGACCCGAATTTAAAAAAAAATAATCATTGTTTAGTGATGTTATGACTTAGAATTGATATAACTATCCTAAAAGAATCACTGCTTAGACAAATTATAGATGGGTTGTAACCTTGTACAAACTTAAAACAAAAAATAATTATATGTATAAATAGAGATAAACAAAGCTAAGCTGAGTTGAGTCATAACTTTTTCCTTCAGAGATCGTGTTAGACTGTGTCTTTTCCTTTTCAACATACACAGTTAATCACAGACAAAAATGTTAATCACAGAGCAGACAATTAAGCTAGTCGTATAAAATGAGAAGTGAATCCTGCCGATTTAAAATAAAAGTTAAGTTATGGATTGCCGGAGTTTACATACCAAACAGCTATGTAAGAATAAACTTGCGTGAATGGAATGTAAGACTGTTTCATTAAACAGTAATTGTCAAATTCTCAGTCTGGCTTGTTGAACGTGGATAGTGTAATTCCAGCTTCACAATCTTGCCCTAGCTTTTTTCCATTCACAACTAACATCATGGGTGAATTGACTCGCACGGAACCAAAGCTGTACTCCTTGAGAACAAGAGAACACATTAGTAACTATAGATAGATACATATTAGATCACAAAAGAAGGAGAGGCTCACTCTTGAATTTTCTTACTTTATCTTTATGTGAGACATGTTTCTGGAAGAAGTATGGCTCTGGGATGGCCACGGCATCACCAATGATTACTCCTTTTCCCTCAGCAAGATTGTACACCGAAACTGCTACAGTATTCTGTTGTTTGTCAGTCATGCAAAACAGACTGCAATACACATGACATAAAACATCATTAGTATTCAACTTTTTGCAATGTTCATTAGAAGTTTGGATGTCAAATACTCACAATGGTACCCCATCATCATGTCGGACATGGCACACGACTCTTCCTAGCACCACTTTACCTTTATTTACACAACCAGGAGTCAATTCAGTTAATGGGCAAAGAGTCATGTTTAAATCTTTGAATTGTTCTTTGTAGGGACCTAAAAGGTCTGGGCTCAGGTTCTGAAAGGAAAGACAATATTTGATTTCAAATTGAAAAAAAAAACCAAGAAGCTACTTTAAGGGGGAGGATTATACCTTTAACATTCCTTGAAGTTTTTTTCCACCAACTTTGCCTTTTTTCTCTACCAGCTCATGAATTTTACCTAAGTAAATAATTAAATCTTCCAACTTCTGAGCAGCACTTTCCCAAGTGGGATCCAAGGAACAAGCAACACTAAATGCTTCTAATGCCTGTTTGTAATCTTCATCATATTTAAGTGTCTACAAAATATAATTAAGAGAATCAAACTCATGAAAATTTAGAAAAAAATTGTAAACTAGAATTAAAAAATGACCTAGACTTACTATTGCCTTGTTGTAATGAAATTCAGCAGTGCTTCGTGTGATTGGGTCTTTCTCCTGGATAATATTGAAAATGCTAGTTATTATCAACAAATGACTAAGCACAGTATGATTAGACAAAATATATTACTCACAGCCCAGGCATATGCTGCTAAGGCAGATTTAAGAAAGAGAGGGTTTTGAGCCACATTGAAAAATTCTGAGAGATGTGCATTGGCAAGTATTGCCCAAGAAGTACCATCATCAAAATCATGAGCAACCGCCTCTTTGGCCACTTTCACTCCCAGCTCAACTAATCGTCGGCGCTCTTCCGTAGTTTTAGCCCTCGATGCTTCATCTCTGTATGTGATAGACAAACTTCGCAGGGATACTCTGTTACGGGCCTGGGAATGATTGATTAACACTTTAAGTCATATTCTATTTACAGTAGATATACAATTTGAAAAGACTAATACTTACATGTGAGAGAGCATTTTCAAAGCAATTCATTGCATCCCTTGTCTTGCCTCGCTTCCAAAAGCATTCACCTAGCTCATTCCAAGCATTAACTAATCCAGGATTGAGTTTTAGGGCTTTTGAAAGACACTCCTCAGCTTCAGTATTGACATCTGACATCACATTCAAAGTCCTACCCAACAAGAAAAGATATCTTGCTTTGTCAGATTTGTCTGCTTGACCTGAAATTTAAAATAGCAATCATAATTTACTAAAGCACTTCAGGTATGTTGCTTATTCTGAGTAGGTAGACAATTATTTGCCAGCATACCTTTCAGTTCAGTAAACAACTGAAGGGTCTCATCCATTTTTTCTTTCAGTAGATCATTTTTTCTATAGGCTTCATCTATTGAATGACTTTCAAAGAAAAAGTCTCGGAAGTGATACAATTGTTCGACAGCTATCTGCAATTTGAAAAGGAAAGGAGACAGTCAGTTTGCTATCATAGTAATTTGATTGACAATGTAATAAAAGTTTTGACAAGGGAATAGCTCTGTATTTGATTGAGAGCAGAACTTACTTGTAGTTTCTCAAGTGCTGCATCAGTAACAAGTGGCTCTTGACATTCCTCTGAAGTCGAAGTAGCCATTATCAATTTAATATAATCCCAGACAATGATTGGTTATTTTTTCAAATTGAAATTTTTTATCAAAACAAACGATGTTCCCTAGATGTCAAATCGTGTCAATAACCTTAAAATAACAAAAAGAATGATCAACGTGTTGTATGTAGTAGAAGCGGTTTCGACAAAACGCTTCTAGGTCAGTACATAAGAACACAAAGCTGTGCTGCGCACCATGTACGGTATATCATTTTGACTTCTTGTGTTTCTAGACAATTCACGTATCGTCATTCAAAACTGTCACATAAATCACTTAAAAGGAGACGTCCATCTTTAATCCATCAATCAAAACCAAAACTTCAAAACATAGCATTCTCATTCTCATATTCAGGTTTGGACTTTCAGATTGAGATTGGAGCACTGGGGGTCAGCCGGAGCTGTACGGCCAGGGTTTGACAATAAAGAAGGAGCGGAGACTTTCGGGCCGTTCTTAGTGCGAGAGGGCGGTGTGTTTTCGTGCCCCAGCATGCACCGCGGCGGCACAGTTCGGCTCTGCCCTGAAAGGAGCTCGGGTCGGAGCTCGTCTCGCCATTGCTGTGTTTCCCCAGTCAGTCGGGGGCGACTGGAGTGTTGTTGATGGTGTTGAAGAGTGTTGTGGCGAATAATGTGGAGCTTCTAGGATGTGGACCTGATCACTGGGATAATGTGTGCTCTGCCTCTGCTGTGATATAGTCAGTGCGCGCACCATGGCACTCTCTTCATAATGACGTTACATGAAAGTGCAGTTGGGTTCGAGTGCGTTTCTCCCTGGATCGTGCCCGTGCCTCCGCTGCTGTCATCGCGTTGAACAGCTGCCTCGGTGCTTTTGTGTTTAGTGGTTTACACCCATTTGGATTACTCGTCTCGTCGGCCAGGATACCTACAGTGCCAAGGATGAGTCCGAGGAGCATTCCAACGGATAAGGTAAGGACAAAGGTGCAGACGACATTTGGATTGCAGGGCAGCCGCGCCCCATCCCTAAGTAGGCTAAGGGTTTGCGACATGCTGTACATTTCTCTAAAGATCTTTTACTGAAGAAAACAACTGGAGTTAAAAAGTACGCGGATTTCGGTAGCTGTTTTATATTTTATCACTGTCCACCAGGTATATTCATTTAGTAATGTTGAAATTCCCTTGTTGCCTTCCTACTTTACAAAAACAAAGGCCATGTTACCCAATGTTTTGATTTGTATCCTTTACCTCAGTTAATATATTTCTGAGATTAATATAAATTAGTTAGATAGCCATTTGGTATTCTGATGTGATGTTTGTTTTGTTGAAATGTTGTTTGGTCCGTTTGTCAACAGAGCAACCTTGATGTCAGCTGTGTTTATTAGTGCCTTGTAGTCCTTATGAGGGAACCCCTATATATATTCATATTTCAAGGGTTACTAAATGCTGAGAGCAGGTCTTTCATCAGTAGAAATACAAAAAAAAAATTCTGACAATTATTTTTCCATACGTTAGGAATACGACTTTTACAATGAGATTGTAAACTGAAATGTATGATTTCATTCAAGTCATAATTTATTGATTATCCTTATCGGCAATTTTGCGTGTTAGTCTATAAATACACCGTATTACCTGAAAAGTGGACTTAATGCTTAGCACTCAATTTTTAAGACTAAATTACATACGTCTTGTTTCGAAACCCCCAAACAAGTTTAAAACAAATATGTTGATTCTCCCTCACAGCTGCGACAAACGCGTTTAGTGGCGTTAGTGCAAAAACATAGTAGTAGACGGAGACGGTGTGGTCAGGCACGTCCGCCGCGCAGCACGCCCGGTACGCCCCCGCACCCCGCCTGCCAGCTCGGCATGGTCACCTCCCTTTACTTTCCCACCACCCGCGCCGCGGCCCGCCAGAGCAAGTAGGGTGACCAGACTCGGGTCCCGTGCCCCGTGTGCCCTCTCAACCAGTCAGTGAAAGTGATGAAATGTTTTGCACGCCCGGACCCCGGCTGCTCCTTGACTCCTTGACGCGCCCCCCAACGCCCGGGGCCGGGACGGGCCGCCCGCGGTGGGCGGGCGGGCGCTTTCAGATTGGACGTTTGGCGATGTGCGGCCCGGCTGACGGCTGCTGACGCTCTCTGGAGCACGTCCGTGCGAATCTGCGCGCGCGGCAATTTGCAAAGCAAAAGCCGCCCTCGCACAGTGGCGATTGTGCGCATTGTGTGAGAGAGTCGCGGCAGCAGCATACTATACAGGGGCCGAGCGGACGCGACGCATCGGAAGTGCATCCGACCGAGCTGTCCGTCCGTCCGCGCTGGCGCCGCCGCACCACACCACACGTGTGCGCCCCGCCCCGCCCCGCCCCGCCCCGCGAGCAGGACAGCTGTGTGCTCCTTTCTCCCCCACGGCGGGGTAATGGACCGCCTGCGCCTTGCGCCACGCCGCCCGCCGCTATCAGGCCGTTGCCCTAATGGGCGCTGATCCGCGGCGGTAGTATCAATGCGTCGGGATCGAGAGCGCGGGGTGACCTGGGTGACCTGGGCGGGCGGACGGCTCGCGAAGTAAGTGGACTTGGCGCAGTGGAGGCTTTTTCTGGAGAGCTGCCTGGCCACCCTAGGCGTGGGCCATCGGCGGGCGGCCCCGTTTGGGATCCGAGCTCGGGGTCTTTCTTACCTGGACCGGTGTGGGGGCGGGGGGAGGTGGGGCACCTGCCGACCGCTGAGCCTGCACCACGGCCGACGTGCCGCGCCCCGCCCGCGCCCGCCACTGGTCGGACTAGGGCTGCGGAGATCGGTTGCGTTGAGATTTGTGGGGGGGGGGGGGGGGGGGAGCTGCACCTCGGCCGCGACTCGGGAAGGTAGCGTGGCAGATTTGCCGCGGCCCATCTGGCTGGAGACCAGATCTCGTTTTTATTTTAACTGTCGCGGCTTCCTCTTCGCGGTTGGTCCCCGCCTGGTCCCCGCGGAGGCCGCGGCGGCGCTGGCGGCGCGTGATGAGTCAGTCTAGATCGGGGAGGCGGAGGAGGACGGTCCTCCGATGATGGAAGATAAATAAAAGGATGTTGAATGAGGTGGCCGGCTGGGACGAGGCGGGGCAGGGGCGAGGCACCTTTTGGGGCGCCGTGGCTTTTGGGCCGCCTCGCCCGGGCCGCCCTGGAATGGAGTGGAATGGGTCGGCTGGAATGAAATTGGGTTCGTTTGAGTCGCATCGCGTGACTGAGTGATGTCGGCCCGGCGGCGCGGCCGCGGCCTTCGTGGCGCTCTTGGGGCCCGCCCCGCGCCCCGCCGGAGCCCGAGGAAAATAACCCGGGGTGGCAGTTATATTTCTTTTTACTTTCACCCCCTTGCGCAAGGGCAAGGGAATAAACTTGAAATATTGTCCGAATTTTGTCGGCGGTGTTGCCTATGCGTCTGGTCGGGCGTGGCTTTGGGCCCGGGCGAGCAGCCGCAGGTCCACTTGATACAGGAGGTGGGGGTGGGGGGTCTTTGTCAGGAGCGGCGAGCGTAGCGGTGCTGCGGTCCCTCCTGAGTCTCTCCTGGGTCTGCAGGCCGGGGCCGGGCTTGGGGCCGGGGCCTCCCGCTTGTTTGCATTCTCGTCCTTTTTGTTGAGAATTTTGTATCGCCGCTGCTGGTCCGGCTGCCTGGAGGCTGGCGCGGGCTGTCAGCGGCAGGCCCTCCACGGCCTCCCCGGGGGGCGGGGGGACAATGCTGCCGCTGTCGACCGGGCAGGAAGCTGCTGGAAGGGAAGCCTGATACAGTACTGAGATTCGTTTTCCTTGGCGTGTAGCCCTCAGGTGGGGCGGGGTCCGGGCGGGGCGACTGGCGGGCCCAGCCGAGGGCATCCAAGTGCTTCGGGCCGGGGCCCCGGGGCGCGGCGCCGCCAGCCGCCATC